ATTTCATTTTATTTTATTTCATTTAATTTTTTTTTTAAGTTATTACTGCTGCTCCATAAACCTTAAAAGGCAGTCGGAACCTTCAGGGTGCAAAAATTTCTCTATTTTGGCGCTCACTTTTTTTGCAATTTCCCGAATGTTTGAAGTTTTTTGTTTTCAAATTTTTTCATGATATTTTTGCTTAATGAGACTTTTGACGATGTAACCTGAAGAAAAAATGTGATAAAAAAACTTATACTGAATTGAAATTCAAATGGCAGGAAGGGAGGAGCTTTTTTTACAAAGCTTGCTTCTTTAGGTCAAATTACGCTATTCAATGACAAAGTTGACATAAAGCAAAATATCATGAAAAAAATTTGAAAACAAAAAACTTCAAACATTCGGGTATTTTTTCAGTACTACAACAATCGAAAATTTTTTCAACTTTGCCATTGACTAGCGTAATTTGACCTAAAGAAGCAAGCTTTGTAAAAAAAGCTCCTCCCTTCCTGCCATTTGAATTTCAATTCAGTAAAAGTTTTTTATCACATTTTTTCTTCAGGTTACATCGTCAAAAGTCTCATTAAGCAAAAATATCATGAAAAAAATTTGAAAACACAAAACTTCAAACATTCGGGAAATTGTAAAAAAAAAGTGAGCGCCAAAATAGAGAAATGAGCCTGAACAAAAATATCTAAGAATTAAAAAATCACACGGCCTATACAAACTGACACGTTGAAGCTTTCAGCTTGCTTGATCACGATTTCATTTTTTCTAAATAAAAAGTTCGAGTATTGATTTTTAGGGAAATAAATTTCATCTATCTTGAGAAAATGGTATATCTGAATTCCTAGTCGTTAAAACCGCCCATAAGTAGGGTCAAAATAATATGTATGCCTTGTTATATGCATTGATTTCGAAGAAGAATTTAAGAGAATATCGAATAAGGCTTTTTCCATCTCATTCTTTAACTACGAATGTCTATTGAAGACGAGGTGCTTGAAACCAAACTTGATATATATTCGATACTTGAAGTTTTTTATCGTCTATAGCCAATCTTAGAGATTAAAAAATTATATTGAAAATCATTCAGTTGTCCTCCAGCTTTACCATTTCAAGATATTTTAGATTCCTTTTTCTTTTCAATCCCGTATAGATATACCCATAACAACAAAACTAATTCACTTCGGATGGATTTGATCTCAATATACTGTTCTCAAATTAATTGATCTCAATATACTGTTCAAATTAATTAACATTCCGTGGAACATTTATAAGACGATATTTTTATTCAGTATAATTTGATCTGTTAAAAAATGTGGATTGCGCATTTGCGCATTGAATCATAAAATTGAAACAACTACTTCATAAACCGAGTCAAATGGTTCATACTAAAACCGTCAAATGACTTGTGCTTAATTGACTTTTTTGCAGTTTTTTTGCACAAATCGCTTTTGCACAAAAGGCATTGCGGTCCAGACAAACAATGAAAAATGGCAGCAAAATTAGACAGTCAAAATGCGTCTTGTAGTTTTCTACGCGAAAACATCATTGCAACTTTTGTACCAGCGGATAAGCGTTTTAACAGCCTTGAGATTCTGCAAATATAGAACTGTCAATCTCGGAAAATCATCGAACCGCCTAAGAACTAATATTTGAGAGTGAATCCTCGAATGAGGTTTTAACTTAATGAAAAACTGTTTCTCTGACCAATCTTAAAACCTATTCTAGATAAAACATATTTGTTCTCTGTCATCTGCCGAACAAGGAACAAGATTTGATTGAGCATATAAAAAGTTTAAACCACTTTTATAATAAAAATAGGCAGCAATCGCACTTAAATGTCAAATATTGTGATTCACTTCAATCGTTTAGGCCGGTAAGAAAAGCCTTTAAAAATAGGGAATTACAAGTGGACACATGAAAATCCCTCATTACTAGAAATGTAGGATACCAACACAGCAGTTACTATTAAAAGATACTTAGAGCCCGTTTAGTCAAGTCTAGACATCAATTTTCAACAGTGTTCAAACACAACCGAGATTTGAACAATGAAAAGATTCGATTTTGTTTGCTTGTTCAACTTCCTCACAAACAAGACGCGACAGGTGTACCTTATAGCGTGTTTATGACCAGGGCAGACAATAATTCACATTGAATGGACCAACATTTGCCATGAAAAGAGCAGACAAAGAGTCTCTCTATTCAATTGATTTCAAAGGGACAGAAATGTCGTTAGGCACAGGTTCGTGTTAGTAGATAAATTTAGTATGAATGTCTTGAAGACAAAAATTTAGTCATCAAGTACCATCGAGAGACTTAAAATAGGCATGAAATTTTAAAACTATAGGAGACAAGTGCCAAGATCAAGTACCATCGAGAGACTTAAAATAGACAAATAAATTTAAAACTATTAGAGACACTTTATGTCATTAAACTGATCCGTCTCTCTTTCAATGATTTGATTTTTATCCGATTCTTGCAAATCGAAATCTTCATGAAAATCAACAGCAAGGAATGAAAAAAATAAAAACTCGAACAAGAATTGACGGTTTCTGTGCTTCAAACAAACTCAAGACATTTGCAAATTTCTATGGACTGAAGGTGACTGATAAAAGACATAAATTTTTTGAGGCAATTTCGAAAAAATGCAACCAGAGGCGAAGAGGTTTGTACCACTTGCGTTACAAGATAATCTCAAACTTAAAAAACTTCTAGCAAAAGCTGATAAAAATCAACATTCAAGCAATGTTTCAACTCAGAAGAATAATTGAAGAATTAACGAAACAATTAGTTTTCCAAATATTCGAGCAATCTGGAAAACCAAAAAACTTCTCTCGTAACTACAAGATAAATGATAAGACACAAACTTCGTTCAAATAACTGTATTCTGAAAACTCCCAAAAACGCCGAGAAATTTCAAGTCAAAGTACCGGAAGACCATCAGCATTATTTGAGCAAAAAATTACTTGGGTTGATTTCTTTTAACGCAGAGAAAGTGGTAAAAGAAAACGGAAAAGAAAATTATTTCAAAATTGTTCCAAAAACGTTCAGACAAACTACCAAAAGAAAACTCAGAAAAACTCTAAACTCTGGAAAGCTATTTACGAACTTTATCCAATTCCAAATGCAAATTATATAATTTTCTGCTGTTGAATATCATTTATCACAATTTGAAAATTTGAGAATTCAATTTCAAATTTTTTTTATTCATTCTGATTTTTTTTAGGTTTAAGCAACTCAATAAGGGCAGGAGTTAGGGGACCTGATGGTCCCGTTGCCTATCCTCTCCAAGTCTCAAAAGCTGAATTAGTTTTATATTTAATTTAAAATTGTTTTATTGAATGGAGAAAAAATTCTTTCTAAGCATACAAGAATTTTATACATTGAAGGATAAATTGATTACCACTATAGGCGAAAATAAAGAAGTAATTAGCAACTAGAATGGAAACGTTAATAAAAATTAGAAGTGAAAAGTCCAAACATGACAAAAATTGAAGCCAAAAAAAATCCCATTCTTCAAAAACCGCACTTTTCAAGTTAAAACTTTTTGAAAAACCCCAAACTAATATCATCTTGAACTATTTAAGAATAAAACTGATCAAATCTAACGAGTTTAGGATGATACAATACTTTAAAATGCTTCCTAAAAACCTAAACGAAAACAACTATTAACCCAGAGCCATTCAGTCAATTTAATCTGTTATATCTTTCAAAACTTTTTCGCTCCTAGCGGTGATTTTTGTTGGGCTAAAAAACCCTAAGACCTTAGGAACAAAATCAACGTTTTCGGAATTTTAATTGAAAACCTAGCCAACTCACACTCGGAAAAGAGTAAAGAACGCAAAACAAAAAAAATGACTATTTGAATTTCCCGAACAATTTATGTCTGACCCTTTTTTCAAAAAATAATAACAAAGAATGCAACAAAATACAGGAACACCCAGCAACCATTTAATTTCAAAAATTGAACAAAAAATAATCAATTCAAAAGTTATTTTTAAAGTAAATTTATCAAATCTCCAAAACCACTGGGTTTCAGATTTTCTTATTTTGAAATAATTTAACAACAATTTAAATCATTTAATTTCGGACTTTTAACAAGCTCCCAACTACAGGGTTTTGAACTTCAAATGTAAAATTTTTCAAATAAAAGTTTTCTGAAAATTTTTTCAATAAGTCACAAAAATTCTTGAATCTCGTAAACCAAAAAGATTTTGGGTATTCATAACTAGAGGCCAAACTGTAAAGAGTTTCAAATTGTAAAATGGAAAACAAATTTCTCTACCTGAGATTTGAGCAGTCATATTTGAAGATAAAATTCGCAACTCCTGGGAGTACCCTGAGAGAGTCTCAATATAGCGATAGAGTTCAAAAAATTGAGAATTGTTTTATAGAAAATCTTGAAGTACTTTGAAAAATCTTAGAAAAATTCCTAAAAAACGTCAAATCTCGAAAAATACAAAGATTTGAGCAGTCATATTCAGAGGCAAGATTCGCAACTCCTGAGAGTACCCTCACAGTTTCCAACTACAGGATTGAGATCTTCAAAATTTTTGAATTTTTTTTAAATCGGGTTTTTTGAAAAATTTTGAAAAAATCATAAAAAACGTCATATCTCGAAAACTACAAGGAACAAGGATTTGAGAAGTGAGATTTCGAGGCAAGATTAGCAACCCCTGAGAGTACCCTGACAGCCCTTAACTACAGGGTTGATAATTTGCAATTTTTAAAAATTAAATTTTCTAGAAACTTTTGAAAAATGAAAATTGCCCTATCTCGTAACCGAAAAGGATTTGCTTATTCAAAAATGGAGGCCAAAATCGCAAGGCCGGGGAAAACCTGACAGCATCCCACTACTGGAAAAAAATCTTAGCCATTGAAATATAATACGTTGAACAAGCTTAAAGATGGCAGGGTAGTGAAACCTGCATTGAAATATAAAATAGATATACAAATAATAGATACATATAATAGATAGATAAAGAGGTTTTGAAGCTTCCTTAAACACTGAAACTAACCAAGGGCGTTCCAAAGTTGGATGACATGTCGAAGTTATGTTTGTTGGCAGAGTGGTCGTTTCTCCCTGAGAAAGAAAGTGACCAGCGACGTCTGTCGTGTATCTCGGATCCCATCCCGGTGGGAGACGGCAGTGGGTACATATTAGCCATTGAGTTATGGTGAGAAGCAGGTGATGCTATTAATGAAATTTTGCTGCTGTGAGCCCAGCGTTTTCTACCACGAAAACTGATTCGTCTCGGGATCCCGGCACAGCTGGCCGCGACGCCAGCTCTTGTGGCCAGACCTTTATTCGATCCGTATTCATCGGATTGTGTGAAGTCGCAATCACTGATTGAATTCTAAAAAATTTGCCAATTCTCAACTAAAAAGTGAACTAGCTCTGTAGATTTTTAGTAGCCTGCATTGTATATTTTTCTTGTCGGCTTTCCTCGGCATTGCCAGCGACATATCTTTGGGATTTTTTCATAGCTCTAGGATAAAAATGGATTGACCTGCCATCAAACATTTACAGTGAGAATTGAAGGTTATCCTCAGGTTACAAATAAACAGGCAAAGAAATGAGCTTTAATTTGTTACCAAAAAGAATAAAGCCCTCCTTTAACTGGTATACTAACTGGAGAACGATAGAGAACAGGATCACTGAACGCCAGACGCACCATGGCCACAAGGTTACAGCCAATGGAATTATCCTTCTCGGTTCCATCGCGACTTTTATCACTGCACCTAATTCGATACGCTAAATCGTGCGAGCTGTTACCTCCACTAATTGATTCCTGTCGGCTGCGCCTACTTGTCTGCTGATTCTTAGACTCCATGAAGCAGATTATAGAGTTTCGCTATGCACGAATCAGCTTGATCATAACTGCTTATGCCGTTGAAAGGCGAAAATAATCATCACACCCTTTTTCACATACTATCTGTGAAATAAGACCTTTTTAAAAATTGTTGTTGTGATTGAAAAACTGGAGGGAATTCGGCCTAACACAAGCTTTTTGGAGAGAAAGGAGTTAGCCTTGTTGTGGTAAACTTATTATATAGATGCGATATGTTTAATATTTGTCGAACGCCCTTTGAGGGATTTTAGAGACAGGTCTGTCAATTACGTCTCTGGTCTGGGGGAAGGAGTTCCTGGCCTAGGGAGTCTTGTGGTGCACCGCTGGACCTCCTGAGCTCGGGTGAGATTGTTCTTGTTCAGCGAGTTTTATAGATTAATAATTTTTTAATAATTTATAAAATTCCAACCCTGTTATTATGGGTAAGTTCAGTCCCCTTGTGTCCAGTCAAATTTTTTTTTACCCTTGAGCCGCGCCATCAAGATGAGGAAAAACAAGGAGCGTAAAAGCAAAGAATGCTTAAAACCTTCAGGACTTTCAAATTGGATAAGATGTGATTGTTGTTCTAATTGGTATCGTATCAATTGTGTGAATATAACTCTTATCGACTCCAAGAAGATCCAATGGTTTCAATGTTCTATGTGTGTTGATGCGAAATCTTTTTTTCTCGCTAGATGACAATTTGAATGATTATCATAAAATATCTGATAATTCGGAATGGTTGTGATTGTTTTACTAGCCGATATTATATCAATTGTTGGATTATTTCTCGTAGCGACTCTAAGAAAATCAAATGGTATCAGTATCTTTTATGCGTCGATGTACAATCTGTTATTTAAGCAACAAAAGGTATTGGTTTAGTGCTAGACAATTAAGTTTATAAAGCCATCTCAAATGACCGAGTGCTCAAAAGAGTACCGAAGGACTCGCGTGCTCCCTTGACAGAAAGGCTTTAATAGGCATCTCGCAAGACTATGAAAAAACAACTGAATTTGGCAGTGAGTAAGGTACACTTTAAATGCAAAGGTTTGTGGTATGTACAAAAAGACGGTTTAGCAATGGGCGCCTCCCTTGCAGTATTATTGGCAAATTTGTGGCTCAAAGAATACGAACCTGCATAAAAGAAAGAAGTACTACAATTGACTGTGCTAAGTGAGGGTAACAAAAACGCGTGTCCTAGATGTCAGAAAAAGGTGACATATCGGACAAAAGCGGTAGAATGCGAAGCTTGTTTGAATTGGTACCAGTTAGGGTGTGGTAACATATCGGAATCCAAATACGCAGACATCGCTGAAACAGTTTGGTATTGCATGACTTGCAAAAAACAACAGGAAGCAGATCGGACTTAGAATGGTGTTAAAATTTTTCTAAGATATGTGGAAGAAATAGTTAGAACGGTCAAGGGCGATCCTGGGGTAGTTCTCGAGGCTGCCAATAAGTTGCATCCAATCTTGTAGTTCACCATAAAAGAACTTGATAGTAACGGTAACTTGGCCTTTTTGGACTTAAATGTCAACGTGGATTCAGCAAAAAAGGTCACATGTGATTGGTACCAAAAACCCACTGATACCGGCAACATTCTAAATTTAAGAGGATGCGCACCTTTGCAGTACAAAATAATTGTTATTGAAGGGACGGTTCATAGAATTTTCAGAAGTACCTCAACATAGGAGACTTTGACCAGGCATTAGAAAAAAATCGGAAGCAATGGATTGAAAATCAATATCCGAAAAATAAGTCTGACAGAGTAGTGTTTGAAACTCTAAACAAGATCATTTAGGAAAAGAAAATATTAGAGGTGAAGGCATCAGAACCGAGAAATGATAAATGGTTGAAAGACTCACCACCCCTTCTTACAATGCTATATCGAGGCAATCCATCTCAACTGTTAGCTGAAAAGGTTCGGCTTATATCCGGGGCACAATTAATTTTTACAACAAGAAAAATGAAAACATGCTTGCCATCCTTCAAAACTTCCTTTGCTTGTGAACCGAGATCCAAAGTGGTGTACAAGCTTACATGTAGTGGATGTAACTCGACCTATGTCGGCCAGACAGTCCGACATTTAGCCACAAGGGTCGATGAACACCGCAAAGGGGACTCCTCAGTAGGGCAACACTTGTTGGAATGTAAAAAGATGGTAGGCGGTACTGCTGAGCTGAAGTCAGAGATTATAGACCAAACAGCCAACACTCATAAGAGGCTTTGCATATTTGGAGGGAGAGACCGAAGATCAACACATGCGATGAATTCAGGAGCCGGGAATTAACACTAAACTTATAGTCTGTCTATAACATGGCTAAAAGTTAAAAAAACTGACATGTCAGAATCAAAAATATTCCCAAATCGAAATTTTATAACCATTAAAGAACAAAAAACTAAAAAATCTCAAAAATTTTCAAGAAAATGTTATTCATGATTACGTAGTTATATTATGTAAGTACATCTTTTTAAATTTGATTGGTTAAAAAGTTTTAGAGCCTTCTTAGACATATTTCTCATTTTTCAGATCGTTGATCGTTTTGTAAATATTGTAAAAATTTTTAATCCTGATGATGCACAAAATCTGCGAAAGCGCTCGAATTAACGTTTTAAATTTCTTATAGAAAGTCTTTAAGATAAAATGAATAATGAATGATAATTTCAGCAGTGTATAAAATGTTAACTATTGGCTGGTTTTTCTTGTTTTTACTTGAACAATCTAAAAGAAATGGTCGTAAACAAACGAATTAACTGAGCTCTATTATAAACAAAAAAATTAGAGCCTATATTGTTTCACTGCCTAAACCTCATCGTCAAGGGTTAAGCCCACCTCAGACAGATCTCGAGCAAAGAATTAAGCTAATCAGCAGCAAGCTGGTTGATGGAAACATAAAGGAAGGAATGTGACTGGCTGCTTCAGATAACAAAATCGCACATTTTTTTTTATTCCTAACTATAAAAAAATTGGTATCATCACACCCAGTAAGAGCTGATATAAATGCCCCAAGAAACGTTGGTAGTTTTTTTTTGCAACTGAGTTTGAGGTGTACAAAGCAGATATGTCTTTTTCAAATGGTTCGGGAGCCGTTTTTAAAACCTTATCAGTAAATCAAACGGAAATGCGGGGCTCTTTTTCTTGAAATCGTTTACTAATCTCCTAAACCTTATAGGTGAAGAAAAAATACATTAAAGCCAAAACTTTTCTCTTTTGAAGCAAAACTTATTGCCCTCCTAAAAAAAATGGGAGGTTTGCGATCAATTGCCATCGGCAACACGCTCAGATGCATCGCGTCCAAATGCGCAGTAAGCAAGGTTCTCGCAGAGTGACAAACTTTTTTTGGGAGTTTTCAAGTAGGATGTCGTTTTCAAGTAGGAAACCTAGCCAACGACTACAAGATCTTAAAAATACTGAAACCCAAGACCTTTGAAAAATACTGAAATCAGGAAAAGACAAGGGGCTAAGCCTGAACACAGAAAACTGTGAGCTACGTTTTCTAGGACAGACCACAAAAACGCACTACAGTACAATTATAGGTCAATTTCAAAATTTATGTTCAATTTAAAAACAAAATATTAAAATGAACTTGTAATTTTGGGCTCATCTATGGGCGAATCTCGTCAAAAAGAACTGCTAAAGGAAAAAATAGCTGATTTGGTAGAAATTTCGGTTAGTTAAGTTAAACTAGATGCAAATTATGGTTTTTACCTCCTAAAATTTTGCTTCAACATGCCAAAAAATTGATATTTTTTGCGTTCAAATCCTTGTTTTTTTGGAAAAAAAACGATAGAACTTCAAGAAGCTCTTTATAAAGGCAACAAATGTAACAAGGAAAGATAGCCACTTTTTGCAAGCATTTCTACCGGCAGCCAAAGGTAGCTTGAGTGTGGCTTCCACTCGCCTAATAGCTTCACCCGCTTTTTTAGCCTCAGCAATAGAAGCAAAAGCTACCTTAAGTGAGATTTTTGATTTGGAGCACGAGGATGAAGCATATAATGATGCATTAGAACTATGATTTGTTTCGGCAAAATGTGAAATAGCTCCGGAAAATGAAATCCAAAAAAATTGGACGGAGCCCATTCTAATCTCTCAAGTAAATTTGAACCTAGAAATATCTGATGTAAAAAGGTTCAAAGCTTTCCCGGATAAATTTGGATCGCAACGGCTGAATGTCACATCGTGTAAAAATCTAAGATTGAATTTATTTGATGAGCAGCTTAGAATTGCAATTGGACTCCTCATAGGTTCAAAAATCGTAAACTAACTATAAAAAAATTGGTATCATCACACCCAGTAAGAGCTGATATAAATGCCCCAAGAAACGACGGTAGTTTTTTTTTGCAACTGAGTTTGAGGTGTACAAAGCAGATATGTCTTTTTCAAATGGTTCGGGAGCCGTTTTTAAAACCTTATCAGTAAATCAAACGGAAATGCGGGGCTCTTTTTCTTGAAATCGTTTACTAATCTCCTAAACCTTATAGGTGAAGAAAAAATACATTAAAGCCAAAACTTTTCTCTTTTGAAGCAAAACTTATTGCCCTCCTAAAAAAATGGGAGGTTTGCGATCAATTGCCATCAGCAACACGCTCAGATGCATCGCGTCCAAATGCGCAGTAAGCAAGGTTCTCGCAGAGTGACAAACTTTTTTTGGGAGTTTTCAAGTAGGATGTCGTTTTCAAGTAGGAAACCTAGCCAACGACTACAAGATCTTAAAAATACTGAAACCCGAGACCTTTGAAAAATACTGAAATCAGGAAAAGACAAGGGGCTAAGCCTGAACACAGAAAACTGTGAGCTACGTTTTCTAGGACAGACCACAAAAACGCACTACAGTACAATTATAGGTCAATTTCAAAATTTATGTTCAATTTAAAAACAAAATATTAAAATGAACTTGTAATTTTGGGCTCATCTATGGGCGAATCTCGTCAAAAAGAACTGCTAAAGGAAAAAATAGCTGATTTGGTAGAAATTTCGGTTAGTTAAGTTAAACTAGATGCAAATTATGGTTTTTACCTCCTAAAATTTTGCTTCAACATGCCAAAAAATTGATATTTTTTGCGTTCAAATCCTTGTTTTTTTTGTGGAAAAAAAACGATAGAACTTCAAGAAGCTCTTTATAAAGGCAACAAATGTAACAAGGAAAGATAGCCACTTTTTGCAAGCATTTCTACCGGCAG